ACATTTAAATTTGGCAAAAGTTGACAAAAAAAATTTATAGGATTTAACGGTATTTATTAAATCCACTACCAAACATTTTCTAGGATTTAACCATTTCATGATTTACTAAGTTCGAATTTATAGGATTTAGTAAGTACTAATAATTTAAATCCCATAAGTTGTCATCATATGAAGGAGAAGAGTTTATGGTATTAGGTTTAGTTTAGTTTTTTTTTGCAATACCTGATCAGACAAAGTTGTAGATGGAGCATGGGCTACGAATTATAAGGGTAAGCTTGTGGGATCTTGGGTTGCGAGGGTAGCATAATTATATATAGACTATTTTCTTATACATTCTCAATTTATGTGCTGCCTCAAATTTTGTGTCGAGATCTTGATTTGTGTGTTACCAACTTGTATCCAAGGACCCAATAATGAGTGTTTCATGTAGCTATTTTCATTATTTTGGATACGTCCACACGATCTATTCGAGCCTGTTTGCATGCATTATGTACGTAGCTCATTTATTTTATCATCCTTTCTCATTTCGATCATAAATGCCATCTTCTCAAGTAATTTTGATGTTTCAAATGTGATTGCACAATCCATTTTGTGTACGGACTTCAATTAAGTAGTTTTTGCTACGATCAAAATTATTTAAATCCATTTTGTGTACGGACTTCAATTAAGTAGTTTTTGCTACGATCAAAATTATTTAAATCCATTTTGTCAACGGACTTCAATTAAGTAGTTTTTGCTACGATCAAAATTATTTAAACTTGAGTCTCATGTCATCACATCCATTATCCATTGTCTTTATTGAGTGGTCTTTATCAGACAATCTTAGTGTTATGGACATATTGGCTATGTTTTTTTTGCAATACCTGATCAGAAAAAGTTGTAGATGGAGCATGGGCTACGAATTATAAGGGTAAGCTAGTGGGATCTTGGGTTGCGAGGGTAGCATAATTATATATAGACTATTTTCTTATGCATTCTTGATTTATGTGCTGCCTCAAATTTTGTGTCGAGGTCTTGATTTGTGTGTTACCAACTTGTATCCAAGGACCCAATAATGAGTGCTTTATGTACTTATTTTCATTATTTTGGATACATCCACACGATCTATTCGAGCCTATTTGCATGCATTATGTACGTAGCTCATTTATTTTATCATCCTTTCTCATTTCGATCATAAATGCCATCTTCTCAAGTAATTTTGATGTTTCAAATGTGGTTGCACAATCCATTTTGTGTACGGACTTCAATTAAGTAGTTTTTGCTACGATCAAAATTATTTAAACTTGAGTCTCATGTCATCACATCCATTATCCATTGTCTTTATTGAGTGGTCTTTATCAGACAATCTTAGTGTTATGGACATATTGGCTATGTTTGTTCTACCAACTGATGATGTTTTAAGCGACATTGAGCATATTGAGTTATTTTGACCTTTAATTTGCGTGGCATCCTATTCCTCATTGACTACTCTTGTCGTGTCTAATCTGTTTATCTTATGAAACATATATAGAGGTCAACATATGCACATTACAAAATATGAAATGTCTGATAGGACAAACAACCTCCTCGTATAAGCTAGCCTAGATGTCTTAAACATCAGTGGAGAATGGTCTTCTCTTTTAGATTCAATCGAACTTTCAAATCTATGTTTTTTTTATAGCTTTAATTATTAATAAGTTCATTGCAGTACCAATGCAAATTTATTATCCCCATAATTTTGTGAGTATTAAGTTAGGAAACTAGGAACCAAAATTATCATGATGTGTCAAACCTTAAATCACCTTTAGTGAGCATGAGTTCATCTTTACATGCAAGGACCACTTCGTCAGTTATTTCAGTTGCCCCGTCAATTACAACATAGATTCATGTTCATACTCAGGGCTACCTACAATTTAAATTTGAAATTTATATTCATATTCATGAGCAAATTTAAGATCTGTTTGAGGTAATTTTTTTATTTCTTTGCTTTTCACATCAATGTCACACCTTTATTTGACTTTTGTTTTCTAGCTACTTTTTAAAATTTCTATTGTAGAAAGTTATGTTCTATAACTAAAATTGCTATGTGTGATACCTGCAAGAAAATTGTTGTCAATTCTTCTAAAAGGAAATATTTATAATACTCACAGAAAACTTTAAAAAAATTACTTTCCCAGGACAACTCTATAACCACGTTTAGAAAAGGTTACAACCATCAAAATTTGGCTAAAGGCTATATGCTTTTTGGTTAAATTGGCATTACAAGTTGCTTGCCATGGGTGCTGATTACAATACATTTTCTTTATTTTGGATTTGGCGAGTACTTGTTCACTTTTGTTAGTCTGTTGGAGCGCCGGTTGTTGGCCTGGAGATAAAGCCTCTAACCACTCAATCACTGATTTGTTCGCAGCATTTACGATGCATTTAGTTGACGGAAAAAAAAGTTTTATTAGATTACTCCAATATTTTATACTGCCCGTGACTATAAATAACAGTTTTTATTCTCTCTGTGTCGCAGCAACCTGCCCGAAATGCCATAATGGAGAGGCATACTTCAGACAGATACAGATCCGTTCTGCCGATGAGCCCATGACCACCTTCTACAGATGCTGCAATGACAACTGTAGATTTGACTGGCGTGAGGACTGATTTCAAATATTATCAAAAGAGTATTAAAGTTGGACTATATGTTTCATCAATTAAGGTTTGTATTAGTTTAATAGTTTGAGTTTATGAGTGATGACCATTTTTTCTGCAGCTTTTTAATATGTTTGATTCTCTTGTATCTTATACTATTATTTGATATTTTGTAATTTCTTTTTGTAATCAACAATGAGAATTTTTTTGGGAAACAACAGCATATAAAACCTACAAAGAAATAAACAATGAAGAAATCACTCGGAACTTCTCAATTGCATGAATGAAGCACTTAAGCATCAACCATTTCATCAAACAAACTATGCTGGTCTATTAGAAACACTTGAGCAAATCATAATGCGCTCCAATCTTAAAGTATCATTCAAATTGCCATTCAATTGTCACAGAAGTTTGTCGTAAATACTAGGGGTGATAAGTTTACTATTAGTTAATACTTGTACTTATTTTTCAATAAATAAAAAGTAATTAGTGTGAGTGGAATGAAAATCAAGATGGTAAAGAAGCAAATTGCAGAGGAAAAAAACGAGAAGGGAATGAAAAACAAAGATAGGGGAAGGACAATGCATGAAAGACCAATCCTGAGAGAAAATGGGAGAGCGACAGTAACTAATAATGATTTTTAAAAATAAATGAAAATAATTAGGTTGGGGGTTGACATGCTTAAGGTGGGAATTTTGCATGATTTTGACTTTGGTTTAAGATTTGGGTTGACTTGCTTTAGGTGAGAATTTTGCATGATTTTGACTTTGGTTTTAAGATTTGGCTACATTATGGTGATTAACAACTCGAGAATAGTAATATAGAACTACATCACATTGAGAACTTTAGGGATTTCTTGAAATTTAACTATCACAATATTGATAATCATCAAGTTGAAAGTGCGAATGATGACTCTTCGGGCAAAGTTAGTGGTACTGGGATGCCATTTACATAAAGAGATGCAATAGTATAGTGTGGAAGACTTGTAGAGGTGGAGGAAGGAGGAAGGATGAAGGAGGAAGGGAGGTAAACTTGGCACATGAGTTAGGCAAAGTAGAAACCATAAAATTCATCATTTTTATTCAATAACCATAATTTGCTTATTACATGCCCTTTTGATTTTTGTTTTGTAACAAAATTTTATGCAAGATAAGACTAATAATTGATCTTCTCTCGATTGACAAATGGCTATGTTGTCAAGGGTATTAAAGTAAAAAATTAAAAATGAACTATGAAAAGAATTACAATGCTAATTCAACTAAAATTTGTATTTGTCCAACAAGTTTGAAGAACCCCGTGAAGGAAGAAGAGGGAAACAGTGAAAAGCACAAAATCCTAGAGTTAGAAGAAACTATGCAAAGCTTCATTTTCATTCATTAATCATAATATGCTTGGTACATGCATATACTTGAACTTTATTTATATGTGTGGATCTGCATGATAAGACTAATATTTAACTTATTCTAAATTGTTAAATGTTCATATTTTTTGGACCAAAAATAAATTAATAAAGAATTACAATGATATTTCACTTGCATTTCATGTTTTTTCTATCCGTTTTTTCTGAGATTGCATTGAACTGTCTTTTTTGGCTTCAAATACTATAAGAAGGAAAACTAAAACGTCTTTAAAACTAGCGCCAAATTAGTAAAATTCTTTTATTACGAAGACATTCAAAAGAAGAGATGAAGTCATCAAATCCCAAAGAATGGATGAATAAGACACTTTCACGCAGGGAAAGATAGATCGAAGGTATAAACAACGATAGCACATGTGTATAGAAACATCTAGAAATCTTAAAAAAAAGGGCATGTCTTATTTCAATTTCTTTAATCAATCTCAATGAATATTGAGCAATTTATTGTTTGCAATTAAAATTGTTTGGTAAATGAAGATGTTTCATACACATTTATTTTTATTTGTATGTTTTCCTTGTTATGTTTCATGGCTAAATTTTAATGTTAGTTTTGTGTTTTTTTTTTTTTTAATTTTCAAATAAATAACAGGGATTGTGGAGAGGTATGGTTTGGTGGAAAAATTATTGCATACGGACAGAGATGCATGCCGTATCCGATCTACACCGTAGATCACGATGATCTATGGTGAGGATGCAATCAAAATTTTTTTTATTTAAAAAAAATAAAAAAAATTTAAATTGAGGTCCACCGAAATACATCATCACCGTAGATGACCGTGATTTACGATGTAGATCCGACACCGCATGCATGCATCTCTGCATGCGATGTCCGTATGCAATAATTTTTCGGTTTGGTGAGGGTTCTGTGTGAATCTTTCATCATGAAGTATTTTATCACTTGATGACAGTTTGGCTATATTTCAGATTGGTAGGGCATATTTTGGCAGTCTCGAGCAGGTATTTTTGAAGGTAATTGGAGGTGCCACAATGAAAATATAAGGCATAAATCACAACAATTACATATTCAAATGGCGGGAAGCTTATAGGCAGATCTAGTCTAAGAAGACGAGGCCTTTACTGCTACCAAAACCAATTCTTCATGTATTTACACATGTAACACCTAAACTTCAAGTTTTACTTGCATTCTAGAAGTTAAAATGGTGTCATTTTTGAAGTGATAAAAAAGATTTGTGCGGTATAAATGTAAAAAAAAAATAAAGTTTAGGCATTTGCAAAAACTTAATTTATAAACAATATAATTTATACACAGAACAAAATTTAAATAAATAACAAGAATAAAAGTGATTTCTCCTTCAGAGTACGACTCTTAGATATAAACAATACCCGCACAGTTTTTCCATGGCAAAATAATTCCACCATACAGACTCGCTCAGCCACAGTTTAGTCACCCAAAGTTTAGAAAGCAAATGCAAATAACTTCGTCTTCCAAATTTTATTTGAGTTTGTTTGATCATTATGTATCATCAACTTGAGAGTGGAAAACGAAGCTTGGGAATGTTGTAGTGATATCCCTGCTCACAAAAAAGGAATTAGCTTTACAATAAATTTCATAAAACATTTGCACTTGGCACTCTGAAACAAAAAAAAAAAGTAGTTTTGAATAGATTATGCATCAGGCTGAATGAATAAAATTTGTGTGAGTTATAATTAATGGGGCATTTACATACATACCACCCAAGTCTTATGTATTTACATGTCTACACCTAAAAACCAATCATTCATATCAAATCAGAAGTAACACTATTTTAACTTTTAGAAAGTGAAATACATCTTTTTCATGCATGTAAACTTCCATTATTAAAAGGTTCTAGATTATAAATATAGAGAATAAAAAGAGTGTTCAAAATGATATTCTAAAATGATGTTATGGAAATTCTAGTGTAGAAATCTCATTTTTGGCTTGGCTGGCCATGTGCCCAGTAAAGCATGCTGTCTGCCTGTCTGAACCATTTGAGCCCAAGCACAAGTTACAGGTGCCAAGTTTTCTTCACAAAAGAATAAAATAGTGAGATGGAGGCTGCATCACACTGCACAGCTTTAGGCTTCTAAGAATGCTATATTTGGTCTAAACTATTTACTTCCTTTTCCATTCACATTAGTTCCTCTTCCACCCTTACTGATTTTCTTCTTCATCCAATGTAAATGTAATATTCACAAATCACCTGAATTTATTAGCTCAAATTTCAATATTCTTCCCCTAACAGAAGTAACACTACATTGCCTCACCCCCATACAGGGCAGCATGATTTCATGAACCAATAGTAGTTACTTTCACCGATTTTGAAGGACAGCGAATCTAGCCGTACATACTAAATCCATCAAAAATAAAATAAAATAAAAATAAAAAATGATAAATAATAAAAAAAAAAGTATAGGTAGTTCTTCAATCAGGACTCGTAACCTTATTATGGTTTATACATTAAAGGCCGACAAATTAGCTTAAATTGCAAAGGATCTATAAAGTGAACGAATGAGTCAAAATAGAGAAGTCCTGCAATCTTTCAGGCTCTAGTCAAAGTCTTGAATATGAGACTAATTAATGCAGCTGTGTTGTGACATGTGAATATATGACGGTAGAAAGTGACCAGACTCATTGGCTCATATGGCCTTACTCTGTAAGCCTTGAAAATAGATGGTAAGAATTCAAAGGCCCTCAAAAAACAAGAATTGGCCTAGCCCCGAGTTAAATATGTGAGCATTCAGGCGGCTTGGTAGAACCTTAGCAAATTATTATGAAGCAACAACTAGATCAAAATATTTAGCTTTTGTCAAAGCCACGACAAAAATAATCTGAAGAAATGAAGGCCTACTTCCAATATATGCTAGACAAAAAAAAGAAAAGAAAGAAAGGGAGAATCTACAAATGCAGACCGCCAAAACAATAATAATAATGTTTTTATAATAAATAAATCAGCAAGAAAATTAAATGATAAAACAGTTAATATAAAAATACTCGTGAATGGAAAAGAAAAAAAAAAAAAAAAACTAAACCCCCCGTTCTCTTCATTGCTGCACATGCTCTAACATGCTCAAACCCACCAGCCCTAGAGCTCTCCCTCACCTGTTTCTGCTTGCGAAAAGTTGTAGTTGATACCTTGGCCTCCATCTTAGCTACCTTCACACGTGAGCTTGATGCTTACATTAGTCTACAAGCTCCACCCACTAGTAGCAAAAATGTTTCTCCCTCATTCCATGCCCAACACTTGCACAAATTCCCCTTGTAGGACCAAGCTCATCATTAACCCTTCTCTTGGTCTCTATGCTACCAACAAGCACCAAAGCCAATTGAGCACTTCCCATTGCTTAACCAACCACCGCCCCCTGAGTCATGCATGGTCAAACATGCACAACCTTCCCCTTCCTCTTACGAGCATGGCCACTCAAGTCACCTCATCATGCAATTCCCAATCACCACATGATCCATCGACATGTCACACCTTGCCATCCTACCATGCTATCTTGTTATGCAACCAAACCTACTCAATGCTAGTGCATTGTTCATTGCCACCGTATACAATGTGTCACATCATTCCCCTGTATAAATCATGCACCAGCAGGACACCTATAATTTCTGCACGCATTATAGCTGACTCTCTCATATGCTTTGTGCTTGCTGCGTGCCCTTGCATCATCATGCATGCAGTTAAATTTTTTACACATGCATAAATTATAGTGTATGTGAAAGTGCACATCAAAGGTGTGGCCCCAAATATATCTTTTTTAACATGGTGGAAAGCCCCACTCATTCATTATCAACGCAATGTTGGACACAGAATAGCACAAAAAAAAATTTAAATTTTAGAAATTATGCTTGCCTTTGCAGGTGCTTGTAAGACCGACATGCATATCGTTTTTGGCATGATAGGGACACAACATAGTCTCAATGCTATGTACCACTTCCACACAGCTTTCTTTGCTTGGCAAGTAGGCATCAAAATTGAGAAAAAAGTCTTGTGCTATATAAAACATGTATACCTTGGTCAAGCTTAATGTGTATTATATTTGGAGATTATGTCTTTGAATCACTAAACAATAATTAGCTATACCATTTCCTAGAGAGCATTTCAATAAAAAAAAAACACCCTTGATATAATGACATCCCGGTCTACTCAGGATTTCTATTCTAATGAAAACCAACCAATGGCTAACAATCAGACTCCCTAAATTGTGACACCTTTGGTCCCTTAAATGTTACTAAATTGGATCGTTGATGATGGGACCAAGGGATTTTAGGCTTCATTTGAGAAGCCGCTGAACCTTCGTTGCGTTGCAGTGAACATCAATGCTTACGAAAGTTCTTGTTTTTTGAAGCAGCTCCTGCCGAGCGTCTCCGGATATTGTTCGCAAGAACAATAATTTGTTACCGTTTTGGACTGCGGAGGACCTTCTTCATTCCGCCAACTTGCCCTTCAAAACAACTTCGTTGAACGAAGAAGTTGCTTCAAACGAAGCCTTAATTGGGTTGTCTATCCATCACATCAACTGAGAGTGTTCTCAGACATCATGTCTGAGTTGTAATTAAACATAAAGGGTCACAATCCCCAAGATTTAGAATAAATCTCAACTAGCCTTATAAACTAACTAGGGAAAATCTATGAGATCTTATCATAATATGCCTTTGAAACTTGATGTTGCTCAGCATTGTTTCCTTGCAACTCTAAGAGAGTTAAAGTAAATTGCACCACAAACTCATGAATGCCTTTCAAAACCCACAACTCCACTTCGTTGTGACATATCATGTCATCACAAATAATAACATAAGAAAACGATGTTAAAGAGAAAAACATAGTAAAACATCTGAAACAAGCATTAGGGATTATTGATGCATATGACCATGTCGGTCATAGGTTACAAAACAAGAAATAAGGTTTTCCAACCGACGCGTGCTAAGAAAAACAAGAGGTATAAGTCATATCACTATATATATATTGTAAAAAGAGTACAATGGAATGGAGACTAACTTGAGGTATTGAAGTGTCATATTCTTCAATAGCGACGGATGTCGTAACACAAGATTGCGCCACTCCTCCTTGTCAATCTTCCCATCATGTTTTGTATCAGCTTCCTCAAATGTCTACGACAATAAAATAAAAACACTCAGCCACTTAAAAAATACACAAGAAAAGAGAAAAATTAAAGTAAAACGTGATCCTACAAAAATACTTATCCAAATAGCTTTCAGTAGGAGTTTTGATAGTGCAATACGATTCACGTCGATACTCTATCAGAAATGCATAATACTTGAATAATGACATTCTGTGCTCTACACATATCCAGGAAAATATCAACATATATGTTCATAAACAAGCAGCATGAAATTGTTCCCTGCCAGAATACCTAACAAAATGGTGAAACCTAAGATTGGCATTTAGAATTTAACCCACTGCTGCAATCCCTTTTTTGGTTTCAGTTTACACTAAATTCAAACACCCAAAAAAAAAATCTGACGGTTAAACAATTTATGTACTAATCAGAATGGAAATGGATCCCCAAGATTATGCTATAACAAAGTTTTCTAGAAAAAACAATGTATGCACTGAAAAAGCTCCAAACAATTAGAAGCATTTGGGACAAATAAAATGAACAAAATCGCCATTTAAAATATATATAATGTCTTCATTGTAATCATTGCATATGAACCTTATCAATTATGGCTTCTATAACTTCATCAGAAAGATTCATGCCCGACTCAGCAAGAGTGGCCACTACCATTTGCTTCACCTGCATATAAAAAAACAATCTTTTACAACCATGCAATATGATCTTAGCTGCATTTGTCCTTCAGATATTTGATCATTGAATTAGTTGATTCTGGGCTGATTTAATTTGATCATATTTCTTAAAGATGAATGCTGTGTTGCCCCAACCATATCCCCAAAACATCTGTGTTGGAACTTCGTACTAAGAGAGCAATGGACGAGGAAGAAAAAAAAAACCCAATAACCCCAAGCAATGGTATGTTGCATCTAATCCCTCACTACCAGCACATCAAGACTTTTTTTAGGCTGTGAACAAGGCTACACACGCACACACACTCACACACACACACACACATTTATTCCCGATTATCTTGTTGGGTCAATATGCCTCAGCCATTTTCTAACCAAAGTTATTCACCCTATTCCATTGGCTCATTCTGGCCCCTTTTTGAGGGCTTTCTACAATTATACTGCAAATTCATTTAAAATCATCGTTTTTAAATTTCTAATATATTGAACTACGGAATTCAAAATTAAAATAATAATAATAATCATAAATTAAAAAAAAAAAAGCATAAATAGATAACGTAATAGAGCTGGACAGCATTGCACTAAAAATCTGAAAGTACCTCTTGTCTCTCTATGAATCCCTGTTGCTTGAGATCATAAAGTTTGAAAGAAACTGCAGTGAAACGTTGCAAAAAAAAACTATTCAGCACATTATGTCACAAGTAAATTCTAATTTAAAATAAGATCAAATAAAACAAGCGTTCAAGAATTGAATATCTACAAGTCAAAAGAGAAAAGAGAAAAGAATAGAAAGATATTGAAAATGTAGCATATAAATAAAACAAATTTTAATTTTTTGTTTATTTTTCATGATCTAATCCTGCCGTTCTTAAATTTCAGATAAAAATGAATTTAAGCTTGCGCAGATCTCTAATTGCAATAAAAACATCATAGTGAAAACTATGACAAAACCATTAAGGCATATAAGTTTCAAAGTTACATATATACTGCATAGAGTGCATGCAGTTTCACCAGGTGATTTATAATTTGCAATTTAGAGAAGCTTATAGCAAGAAGGTTGCAGAGAAAGTAGCGTATTCTGTCTGCTAGAGAAGAAGAATACTTGTTCACCAAGGAATCTCCTACATGTAATAAGAGAATGAGTACAATGTTCTAAGATACATCTAATATATATATATATAATATATATATATTAGGAGAGGGCTCGCACCTCGCCTCTGTTTCGTCGACACTCGCCCTCATCCTTTGTTTCGTCCCGACGTTACTGCATCTCTTCGACGCTGTCAGCTAGTGTGCATCTGTTGCGTCTGCGTCGGCATCTCGCTCGATTTCATCGTATTTGATTCTGTTGCAGCTCCCGTCAGCATCCGTCTGTTGCGTCTGCGTCATTCTGTTTCGACGCCGAGCCTCTCCCTGCCCGACAACTTCATTTCGTCTGCGTGTCGAGGACCTAACAGCAGGTGAACGCCGACAGATCTCCCTGCTCTGATGTCGCTCCCTTCTTCTATGGTCGAACCAGACAAAGCCTCCTTTGCCCACGTGGTGGGTAACCCTCAGGTGGAGTCGGTGGTTTTCTTCCTCTCAAGCTATAAGAATTGACGCGATAGTACAAGTGATTGCCCTTTTGTTAAGAAGGAAAGTAGGAAAGGTGAGAAAATAATAATATTTTTCTCTGATGACGGAGAAAATCAAATTTGCTCTTATTGACAAATTTCAGTGGGGTCACTCACTTATGAAAGTTATAGTGTTCATGATCATAAACTAGTAGACAAGTGAAAAGTGAGACTCATGGATGAGAGACATGTGTTGATTCAACTAACCGTGGCTGAAAACTACACCCGATTTTTCTCAAAAAAATATCTTAATATCGCAGGCAAATCAATGAAATTACTCAAGTGAAGTTACTCAAGTAATCAATGAAGTTACTCAAGTGGTCTCCTGATTTTAACCCAAATCATGAAACTCCCACTATATTGTTGACCTCATTTTTAGTGAGGTCTTAGTCTCCTACTCCCATAACCCAAAATCTAGCTGTAGGAGTTCTTGTTGACCATCATAGCGGACTAGTAATGGAGCCCACCTCCCGTAGAACTTGTAGAACTTCAAGCCACTTCTTGACTCATTTTTGTGAAGAACTCGCATGAGTGGTTCCAAGCACTCAACTTCTAGTTGTAAAGGCTAAGGACCAACATGTAGAGGACCCGAAAATGAGTTCCTACAGGTTCAAAGGACCTTAGGTGAACCCTCCATGATTCTAACACTCGCAAATGCCACACTTCACGCACTTGCTACAACATGCAGGAGACTGACACATTTTTGGCCCGACCGTCGACGAACTTGTCTGGACAACCACGAATGACGAAACGGACTGCGCCGTCGCGTCTGGAACGTTAATTTTAGCCGGGAAGGACACCCATATTGCTAGGATTACGCGCGTGCATAAATGACACGAAAATCGATGGACATTTTTTTTAATTATCGGTGCACGGGCCCGGGCTCAACTCAGGTTCAACTCGGGTTTGATTCGGGCTGGACTCGAGCTGAATAAGAGTTAAACAATTTTGAATTTTGAATTTCAAATTTCAAATGAATTATTTAGTCCTACCTTAATGAAATTAAATTAGGAGTCATTATATACCAAATAAACTCCTCTTTTAATGGAAATTCATCCATTACACGCATAACGGTCGTTCTAAAATCCTGAATATACAAAAAATGCTCGCCGCCTCGTTCGAAAGGCACGCCTGCCTCTCTCGACAAATCCCGCTCCCCCTCTATTCCTCGGCACGAAAACTCCTCTACCTTCAGCTCGATCCCGTCTCTGCACCGAAAGCATTCAGCCCCTCTGAATCGAATTCGACTCCTTCCTCTCACGACGAGAGTCGGCTCTCCTTCTCCCGGGACCGAGATTCGGCTCTCCTCCGACCCTTCTTCACGAAACGCTACGCTCGTCTCTTCCGTTCGCTGGACTCCCCTCTTCCTCACGCGACGCAGAAGAAGCCTCGCTCCCCTCCTCTCCTTCCTGCGCCGAAAACCCCGCTCCGCTCCTCCTTCTCACGCCGAACAGCCGCTCAACGCTGCTCCTCCCTGAACCGAAAGTAGCGTTCCCTCGATCCCACTCCTCATGAGCTCACCCGCTCTCCTCTGCGACTCGACGTTGTGAACCGAGCTCCTATCTCCCGCTCGCCTCAACTCCTTTGATCGGCACCGAAGAAACCCAACTCCCTCTCTCTCTCTCGCTGCCTGCTCTAGCCGAAGCTCCCTGCCTCCTGTCTTGCTCGCCTCCCTCTCCTCTCTGCGCCTTCTCTCGCGCGACCAGAAGGGTTCGTTTAGCAGCCCTAACTTAATTCCCTTCACATACGACAAACCTCTCTACTTGATTCTCTCCCGGCCTCCAAGCTTTTAGGAAGGTGAACTCTAAACCCTTTTTTTATCGAATCACAAACAATAGTCCCTTGTGTTTGTCTTTGATGTGTGAATTATGTGATTTAAGATTGAATGCCTACTTGATTTATTTCTGAATTTATGAATGATCTTAGCTCTTCTTTAGAGTTACTGTTTAGAGATAAGGATTTATATCTCTGAAATGTGCTTAGAATTTTGTTAAGCATGCTTTGCCTAGGTTTCTGAAGAGTAAGTTATGTCAATTTAGAGTGTTTTATGATTGGTTGTTTCAGTAAGCTTATCATGCGTGGCACTTTATCTTGTGTGTTTTGATTATCCATTGTTCTTTTAATTGCATTAGCCATGTTTACTTGCCTTTATCTAGGAATCATCTAATATGCTAGTGTTACAATGATCTTGTGTGGGCATGGGGAAATGGAATCGTTCTTCATTAGATTCAAGATAATGTTTAATAGTTGTTAAAATTGTGGACTTGCTTACTTCAACCATGAATTATTGGATGTGAACTTTTTCTGAAATGAGTCTTTCCTCTACTATTATTCCAATATTCTTTACTGGAACTTGCTAATTTTTTTCAGAAGGATTCACATACGTACCACATAATTCTCATGGATTTACATTTTTAACACCTTAAGTTTTAATCCCTCTACATACACATCTTCGCGCACATGCACTAGAAGCCGTATCGATGTTGTTTTGACATGACACAAAAGATTGGGGTGGTATAAATGTAAGAATTGAAGTCTAGTTTGGAGATATGTTAACACAAAGGAATTGTGGGGTATGCGTGCAAATTTTTATTCGATTCTTCTTGGCCGGTTGCTCGGTATTATCGTTGTTTTGAAGAAGGATTGGGATGTCTTTCTAGCTTGTCATTCTTCCTGTTTTGCCTCGACTCGTTCACCGTTTCGACATTATACATTGCTGGTTTTGGAGGCTTTATATGCCACCCGGGTGTTGATTCATCTACTGTTTTGGGAGGCTTTTGGGGGGCTTTGTGCCCCCATTTAAATGCTGATTTTGAGGGACTTTACTTGTTTTAATGTTGTTTGGAGGGTAATTAAATGATGTTTTGGGGACTGTTTTGGGCTGACTTCACTGCAATCTAGGAGACTGTAAACTCCTTTTCTTGGGCTAATTACACACTGTTTGGGCATCGTTTTGAGGTGCGTTTGTTGGCTGATTTTGAGCAAAAAAAATTTCTGTGCAGACTCCTTACGTAGCTCTACTTGCGGCGCAGTGTATTCTTGAGTTATTTTTAGGTTATTTCTGAGTTATTTTTAATAACCCGAAATAACCCAAAAATAACAAGCGGTCTTTATTTTTGGGTTATTTATGGGTTATTTCTGGATTATTGAAAATAACCCAGAAATAACCTAAAAGTAACTCAGGAATAACCTGCACCGCACGTAGAGGAATGTCAGGTGTCCGGATGGAAAATGCGCGCCATTTTGAGAGGTTTGCACACTGTTTTGAGGCGAGTTTAAGGGTTGTTTTGGGGTGTTTTGTGGGCTGGCTTTGGAGCAGCTTGGGCACCGTTTTGACACTGTTTTGACACTATTTTGGGGTGATTTTGTGGGTCGATTTGGGGCAATTTATGTACAATTTTGTGGTGCTTTTGTGGGCTGATCTTGGAGCCCTTAAACACTAATTTTGAAGCCTTTAAATGCACGGTTTTTGGGACTGTTAAGGGGCTTGTTTTGTTGCACATTCTTGGGTCCCTTGTGGGTTGCACTTTTTGGTTCAATTTTGTGGCTTTTGGGCTGCACTTTTCTGAGTCTCTTGTGGCTTTTGGATCTCATTTCTTTTTATGTTGAATTGGAAGACTTTTGGGCCGATCAAAGCACTGTCTTGGAATAAACTTAAGAACTCTTCTTGGGAGTCTATTTAATTACACTTGTTGAAAGATTTTAAACGCTTTAGGTTAATTCACTTCCTATTTCCCTATTGGATTTGTTAGTTTTGGAAGTGGGTCAAACTTCTCTTTTCGTTTATTTTGTTATTTTTGTTAAATGATTAAGTAAAAAAATGAGAATTTCTAATTTAATTACATGGAAAACACTTAGAAATATTTGAGGATTAGTTGGAAAACACTTAATTGAGGGTAAAACACCTTATATCACTTTAAGCACAAGTTAAAATGTAGGCTTCTTAGATTTTAGAAACACACCCTAGGCAAGAGTCCATCTACCTAATTCTCAGCATAGGTTTCCTAGATTTTAGGAGCACACCCTAAGTGAGAGTCCA